CTTTTAGAATTTTTGTTAGAAAACTATGTAGTATCTATAAACAAAAAATCATTGAAATCGGAAGGGGACATCTAAGGCAGTTTCCTCGTAAGTGATTTTTACTGAAAGCGAACTTCTGTATAGTGGATATCTTTATATAGTTCTATGATGAATACTTTGAAAAGTTTCAATTATCTCGATGACATGAAAATTTGACTATATTTTAACAATTGTTAATTTTCTAAGAACAAAAATGCATGAAAAGACAAGTAAAAATTAACAATAGTTAATTTTTTATTCAGTAACACTCTGCAGATATCTAGAAAAAACCTCTGTTCTTTGTATAAAAAAACTGCTATTAGAAAAGACCTAACCTTCTTTTAGTAGACATTCTCCGAGCTTTTCAAAAGTGTCCACTTGAGAGAGACTATACTGTATATTGTTTTTAGAACGAATTTTTTATGAATTACGATGTCATTGTTATAAAGCAAGAGCATTAATTGCTGCGGATGCAACAGGTTTATCAGATCCTTATTTAAGTATTACAGTTGGTAATGAAACACAAACAACTCCAGTAAACCATTTTATATTCGTGATTTGTTTTGTTAATTTCTTTTTTTTTGCATAGATTCTCTTGGAATCATTATGTCCACAATGGAATATAACGTTAGCTTTTCGAAATTTGGTGCATGTTGGAACTCGAGAAACAGCTGAGGAAATTATTGGAAATGTTGTTGTCGAATGTTATGATTCTGATGAAGTAAGTAGACAGTTTAAAAGTGAAAAACGTATGTCAATAGTGTGACAATATCAATGTGGAAGTTAAAGACTGATCAAGTTATAACTTGAGTCATAACTTTTGAGTTATAACTAATCAAGTTTTCGGTTCAAAAGTTAATTAATTTATAAGCATCAACCGTAATTGTAACTTTCGACCTGAGCTATAACTACCAATGAGTTTAACTCGATTAAGGTTTTGAGAAGATTTAATTATTTTGATTTAATTGACGTGTTTGATAAAATAAATTAGAATATATGTATTTCATTGTTCTTTACTTTAAAAAATTAGTATTTATAGATTATTCTCTGAGAGTTTTTTTCACGTATTCGTCTAAAGGTCTCGTTTGCTCATATTTCTATGTCGAATGTGAAAGCATGCGTCATACAATATATTTTTCATTATATGACCAATGATAAACTTTAAAATGTGAGCAGCTAAAGAATAGTATTTAGAAACTGAAACTACTGTATTCTATTACTTGTTCTCTAAAATGGTAATCATCTTCAATAGAGGTTGGTCCATAAGTAAGGTAACACAGTTTTTTTCTCGGTTTGTTTCTAATATATTTTCAGTTCGGTCTCATATTTTTACCACATATACTGGTTCGTATAACCCAAAGAATCACTATTGGACCAATGTCTAAGTGTAATCGTTTTTTCAAAAATGCATCAATACACGATAACCAAAAAAGTGACATGTCTATGTTCTAATAAAACCTTTATCAATGCATTAGAGCAAGAAAACGATACACACAAAAGTAGGTCTTTGTGAAGTATTGTCAATATGAAATTTTTCATAATAGTTGCTCAATATGCTTGTCCTCTAAGTCTTTGAAAAGTTTTAGTCTCTCAGATACTGATTGACAAGCTCTTCGATATAACTCTACAGACTAGCTTTGTATTCTGTAATAATAGCATCCTTGAGTGCTTGAATATTTTTAGGTTTCGTGTTATACCACTTCACAATTTCAATCCTTTCAGATAAAGACAATCGGATCGGAAACGTTAACTTATCGTTCAAAATTCGGAAACACTATTAGAACTGTGTACATAGAATGAAGAATGCAGTGAGAAAAAGAACTGAATCCTCTGATAGCAGAGATGACGACTTGTGTTGTTGTCTGCGAGATGGCACCAGTAGCACATTTATAAATACTAGCAGAAGAGACAGAATAGTATAGATGTACTTACATATGTTACGGAAGGAAAAACTATAACTGTCAAAACATGCCACTTTTTTTGGTTGTCGTGTATTGATGCGTTTTTGAAAAAAAATTATTAAACTTAAATATCATTCCAATGGTGAATCATTGAGTCGTATGATCTAGTATATGTGGTAGAAATATGAAATTGAACTGAAAATATATTAGAAACAAACTGAGGAAAAAATTATGTTACCTTACTTATGGACCACCCTGTATATGTTGTAACCAAATTTAGATAACGCTTTCTATAGGTGTAATCATGTATATTTTATTTCAACATGAAATAACTATATCAAGTTATTCTCAGTTCATTCGTATATGTTCATCACTAGATTTAGCAGTACATAGATTGTTCTGCTGTTCTTGTTCAGTATTATATCGATAAACGTGAGAAGAAAATATGCAATACTTGTTTTCTTACAAGTTAAACATAGAGAGAAATGCTTTCTACATTATGTAGAAGAGTAAAGTGAACGGTGGCTCGTTGGTGCCTGATGTGAGTCCACCTTCACGTTCATTCCATGTCCGATAGTGCCGAGGTTCGAACACAGTACCTGAATAGTACGTGCCAAACAGCTTAACTATTCAGCCACAATGGCTTTAATAAATAATCAAACTCGAAGGCTAAGCGAAAGCAGTTGATGTGACTGGTAGAGACGGTTTTAGTACGCT